AGTATTAAATATAGACACTTCTCCTTACAAAAAGTCAAGACTGACCCATTTTGCGAAATCCAATCCCTATTGGCAAAAGCTTGTTCATAATTCATGATCCATAAGCATTCTAATAAGGGAAGTATTTGTGATGAGTGCAAGTTTAAAGAGAGAACTCAATTCTAAAAAATTAGCTTATTAGGAAAAAGAGTGTCTTAAACTTATAAATCACACATCTGTGAGGTTTTTCAATATGAAACTCATACCAATATAATGCACCCTTTTGAAAGCCAACGTCTCTATGGCTCCATTCTACAACACTTTTATCAGCTTCCATCTAGTTAGCTCCTCTGGTTAGAACCATTAGTAGGTAGCCTTCTTCAGTTGGTCAACTCTCAATGAAAGCATCAATATAATGAATATAAATTCAGAAAATCTAATCCTAAAAAACTAGTTTATTAAAAAGGAGAGTTCTTAAACTTATAAAACTATACTACACTTATAACGTTTCTCAACATGGGGCTCATAACATGATAATATTCTTGCATCATGACAAAGTTGTGACTATTCTTAGTTTTATGCACTACCTCTCTGATTTTTCATATATGGTTTGTTGTAATGCACAGGACCTGCGCATGTGTGTGTGTGTGAGTCTGTATCATACAACAATTTGAACGGACTATGATGTCTATGAATCATAAAAAATGTAATTATTTTTTAAACTTTTGGAATATAATAATATTCATCAGGCCAAAATAGTTTATCCCAAATTGGTTTTTCTTTGAATATATTTTCTTCCTTAGTATTTTTAATTATTTTTTATTTAGGCAGACAAACACTAACTAGATTACAAATTGAGAATACAACTTCTTATTTATAAGAGAGTTTTTATATTATTAGATTACAAAACTAATTAGCTTGCCGTTGCTATTTTGAAAGTAAAGCTTGCGGTGAGAGGAGCTGAGGGTTCGATTTATGGGAAAGTGGTAAGGAAGTAATAATCACAAATTACAAAGAGCTCTTTAATTTTGGGAAGCCCAAGAAGAGAATCTCACTCTTACTCACACCATTTTTGGGTTTTACTAATTTCTGACATTACTTTTTTCTGACTCTCACTGGTCCATCCCTTTATTGCTCCATTTCAAGTACAAGCAAATAATGTTATTTGCTTGTACTTTTTCCTTTTTTTTGGTCCCCCGGCTAAGCCATTTGCATGTCCTTTATTAGTAGTACTTTATGTCTATTTTTACAATACCTCTAAATTTCTCACACACATTGTGCTTTATATTTTAATTTCCAAGAGCTTAAATGCTTCTTTGGGATCACAAGAAAATATAAAGGAAAAAAATGGGAAATAAAAAAAAATAATCTACAAATTTCCAATAATTTTAACTGATCTTTAATTAAGTTTATATATTCTATTTTTTAAATCTGTCATACGAAAGGCTGATTAAAAATCACGTAAAATTATTAAAAATATAATAAAAATAAAAAATACAAAAACCCCTTTAAAAAATCAGTTAAACTCCACCAAGACGTGATTTTAAAAAAAAATTATAAAAGTCTGATTAAAAATCAAGTTAAATTATGAAACTTATAAACTAATTTTTTTTAAAGGAAGAAAAGATAAGAGGGAAAAAATAATTTCTCCTCCTGTCTTTGGTTATGAACGATTTGAATTATTTATGAGAAATCTTAAATTTTAATTTCATGTACTTTGAGAAGAAAAATGAATGGGGTATAAGAATGAGGAAAAGAATTCAAAACGAAATCAGAGTGCTTTAACGGCACGGAGCTATAATAAATTAATAAGTGAATAAGAACAAGAAGGAGAAGTGAGAAGAATGACAGATTTCCTTGGTACGTGTGGCTCCCCAAAAACATGCGCTGACAATTATTTTTTTATTTACAAAATCAACTTCAAAATCTTTAATTAATTAATTCCCATTAAATGTTCCAAGTCAGCAAAAATTTGAATTCCATACGGGAGGCGTAAGGAGAGAAGTCAGCTTGTTGGCTGCAATTTGCCAACCTTCATTTTATTTTATTGTTTTTTGCCCCAACTCATTAACTTTGGCCAATAATTTAATATAAATTTTCAACTTTGTCTTCATTAATTATATAGACGCATATACTTTAAAAATTAAAATGGGAAATTAGTGATAAAAATATTCATGAAATGCCTTGTAATTAAATATTAGCTCTTAATTAACCCCATATTTAATTAATTGAGGGTATTTTTTTTGGGTGACAAATACGAAGGGTATTTTTGGTTTAAAGCCATTATTGAATAATTATTTTCTCCGAAACATAAAAGTAAAACCCCTCCAACACAAAAAAAACAATTATGAGGCAGTGAAAGGGTCTTCTGGCGAAAAAGAAAAAGTGAAAGGGAGGGAGCATTTAAGAGTTATTAAGATACGGATAAATATTGTAGGCTAATATTTTGAAGCTAACAAAAATTATGAATTCCATTGTTTCCTTAAGCGAAAAGCCTGGACTTCCAGTGTAGTTATTGTCCATGAAATTCTGGCCACTTGTAATAGAAAACTCTAAATTCACATGGGATACATTTTTTCTCGTAATAAATATAATCTTTTTCCAAATTGTTTTGTCTAAAAAAAATTCATGGCTTTTTCATTGATTGCTTTGTGAAGCACTTATTAATTTTTTTTTAAAGATATCTTTCAATTAGAGAAGATCCTGCTCGAGATTCGCATTAAATATAGACACTTCTCTCATTAGGAATTTGAATTTTGTCTTGCCAATCACATCAGTAATATATAATTCAACTATTTTGTAAATAACCAATTCGAACATTCCATAAAGTGATAAGAATTATGGGATTTTCGTCCATCAAGTGAGCACATATTTGGAAAAATATGCTTTGTATTAAAGGATTGACTTTGAAAGAGTTGATTAGATCATAAGACTCCCATTATTGAAGGAAAACAGATTCAATTTTCAATTTCTTTGGGTGATATAATCAATTTTTAATCTTTATTTTTGAGTTAAAAGAGGAGATAAAACACACCATCTTCTTCAATCATGCATCATGCAATGTTAGGTGATTTCTTTCCATTTAGTATTGGTCTAGGAAAAAAAGAAATACTCGTATTATCTTTGGCTATAGAAATGTAAAGCTGGAAAGCGTTATTCTCTTCAATTTTTATATAATTTTTTTTAGAATGTCCCCACAAATAGATTGTTCATAATTTTTCGTGGTTTCGAATATAAGATTCTTTATATACTTCAGAGAAATATTTCCTTAGTTCATTTAGAAGTATATTATCTTTGACTCTACGCAGAGGTTGATGAATGTTATGAATTTTTTCAAAAAAAAAAAGAGATGTTTGGCTAATACCTAATCTAAAACACTTTCTTGTTTTAAAATATATTATATATTTTCATTAAAAAAATCTATTCCTTTTACTTTAAAATATAATACACTTCTCCGGTCTTAAACACAAGGACCGGTGAGAGTGAATCCTTTTTTCCTTAAACATCTTCTGATCTAAAATAAGTCAAGCTTAATTTAGCCAAAAAAAGGCATGTTTAATAATATTTGGATCATTAATTGTTTTCTTTTAGTTGTATAGCCTTGTAACTTATATACAATTAAATATTATGATTCTGTGAATTTAATAAGTACGCATTTGTATAGTATTCTATAATGGGATTTTCCCTTTATGATATAAATAATTTTTTTTTATAGTTTAAAATTTTTTTGGATCCCACCACTGCGGACCTCAAGTTAGCTCAATGTGTGCTTCGGAAAGGCAGGGGTTAAGGTGATAGCCATGCATGCTCTTACACTAAAAAATGAAGGAGCTAGTATATAATAAACCTATCAAATCATATGGAAGGTTGAAAATTGTTATAAATAATAAGATAGCTGTGATTTTATGTGTGTGTATCAATAATTACAATTAGGGTGGCAAGAAAATACTCATATGGTGTTTTTTATAGGGCAGAGAGAAAAGAAAAATTTTGATCATATTTATAGGATAGAGAAAGAAAATTTTCATATAAATGTACAGCTTAACCCTTTATTTATTATTGTGTTGATTTTGTTTTCATGAGGCATATTGTATATTAAATATGAATAAAGTTGAAAAGTTATTAAATTTTAAATTGAGATTAATGAAATTTAAAATTTTTATCGATCTATATCAAATATATTGGAAATGACTTATAAATAAGATAAGAGGAATAATTATAATTAGAGTTGAGAATAGGAGCTAACACATTGATTTTGGTCAGAGAAAGTTGAAAAAACCTACTCCTCTGATCCTACTTATAAAGCAGAGAAATAATATTTTTCTTAGTTTTATATATAAATCACTTTATTAAATTTTTAGTATGAATACACTATTTTATTATTTATTTATTATAATGTTAATAGTTATTTCTTTTGAAATCTATACATTAGATAAAAATAAAATTAAAAAATTATTACATTTTAATAGGGAGTTAATATATTTTAAGATTTTTTTTAATTCATGAGAAACATATTATAAGAGCCTTATAAATTAAATAGGACCAGATGAACAAGTTAAATTTTACCTTGGCTTACTTTTTTTTTTTTTTTGCCTGATTTACCTTGGCTTACTTATTTTAATGTATTAATTGCATTTTCTTGGTATGTGTGCCTAAATCTTAAATGGCTCACATTTTGAAAGAGGGGAGTATTTGTAAGGGAGGGGGATATACAAATTTATATTTATATTTTCTATTAATAAATTGACGATTAATATTTTTAGTTACTTAATTACTACAATATTAATTGAAATTAAGGGGAAAAAATAGAGAGGACATTTTGGGGATAAAAAAAACAAACAATAAGTCCAAATCTTTTTCAAATTCCCATGTTACAAATAGGATCGGAGTACGTTGGGAAATAGTAAATACCCAAACAGCAAACACACTGCCTCTACAGCTTTCATTTGAAATCCCTGTTATTGCCCTGTTCACGAGGTTGCACGCCTGTACCCTTTACTCCTCCAGCTCCCCCCTCTCTCTTCCCACCCCACTCTCCTTATAATATCTCTCTTCCTCTTCGTTTCAATTCAACTCCAACCCATTCAATTTTCGTTGTTCATATGACATGAAAATGTCAATTCCTGCGTCCAGAAGACCCAAGTCATGGCATCACCCCCCTCCTCCTCCCACCCCCAGAATCCTTCACTTGCCTCGCCGGCCTCGCCGGAGACCCGCCAAGCCATCGGTAGGGAAACCCAATTCCGGCGAGGTCCTCCGGAGGGAGCCTAAGGGAAAGTTGGAGACTTTATTTGATCAAGAACGTCCAGTGGCTCGAAATGTTCCGATAGTGGTGTTGGATTACATTGGGGGGAGTGAGACAAGGAGGGAGAGAGTTGAAAGCAGAGAAAGTGATGGTGCTGTTGGTGGTGGTGGGTTAGGATTAGAAGAAGAGAAATGGAGGTTTCAGGCGGAGATGTTGAGGGCAGAATGTAATTTGTTGAGAATGGAGAAAGGGATTGTCATCAAGAAGCTTCATAGAACTCGAGCTAAGATGGAAAGTACACTGAAATCTGCACTTGAGACCCTTGTTTCTGTTAGTACCCTCTTTTTCTTTCCTTTTTGTTCCTTGAGTACAATCTAGCTTTTAAATGTTTTTAATGCTGTCTTTGATTCCACCTGCATCCAAACTTTTAACTCCAAACCTACCTACCTGGTTGCTCATTTATGAGAGGTGTGACTGTGAGTTAAGAGTCTGAGGTAAGCCATAAATCGCCAAGTTGGTAATATATCAGTTTTGGTCCTAGTATTTGGATGAATGTAGGATAATAGGATAACACAAAAAGCATTTTAAGATTTGAAGTATTAACATGGGTTGTTCCTCTCTTTTCTTCTGAGTTCTGTCAAATTAAGAGATTGGCTTAAGTCAGTGTTATAGTAGCTTTGAAATATAATGCTAGTCTCTTCAGTTATAGTATGAATATCATATATAATAATATCTGTTTAAGCATTTGCTAAAAATCATTTCATGGTTTACCTTTGTGGGTATCATTTGAAAGTAGAACAACTAACTAGAAATTTTATTTAAATTTCTTCTTCCCTTGTTGGGATTTTCTTAGCAAGCAGATAGTTACTTGTTCAGCTGATGCATCTGTAATTGAATTGTTGTACCAAACGGTTTCTGCATGCTAACTAGATACTGCTAACCTCTCAAAGTTCTGAGTGCACTTGCCTTCTTGCATGATTCTGATACTCATCTGATTTTTGACATGCAAAATGGAATTTAGGGAAGAATCAAGATGTGTGAAGGAAAGGATGTTGATATGGTACTGGAGGAAGAGATTCAAGAGTTGACAGAGAAACTTGAGAAATTGCAAAGGAGATCAGGAGCTAAGGAACTGGAGGCTAGGAAGAACAATAATTTTGACAGACAAGTTTCAGTTCTTCGGAGACAGCTGGAGAAGAGTGGAGAATCATTAGACGAGATGCATGTGAAAAGGATTCAACAGATGGCTGAGGCAGCCTTGTCTGTTAAAACTTGTGGCAGAGAGGATGACCGTAACATTGTTTCAAGTGGAAAACTAAACGTAAGTAAAATATCTGTCTCCCGTTAGAAATTTAAACTCTTTTCAAGACAATGCAAAAGGGCCCCAAAAAAAAAATCCAACGAATTCGCCCCTCAATTGTCACAGGTTGAGATTCTGAGAAGGAAAATGGAGGGACTGTCAAAAGGACTACTATTACAGGGTATGGAGGAAGAGTACAATTCAATGCACTCCACAGCCAACAGTTCTCTTCCAAGTTCAACCTCAAGTTCCAAGAGAATGGATTGTCCAGACTTATCGTCTAGTATCAGAGTACCTCGTCAGGTGAATTCTCGTTATCACTACTCATGACTCGATAATAATTGGTCAGTGCTTCTGTTTAAATATTCGGTGAATACAGCAGAGTGAAGGAATTCTAAGTAAGTCCGAATTGCAGGAAAAAGTTGGCAGTGAAGGGAACGTGTGCTCTGGACAATGTAAGGCAGTTGTACAAAGAGTTGTAGAGCAAGTTAGAGCAGAGACAGAGCAATGGTCCCTAATGCAGGAGATGCTAGGTCAAGTGAGGGAAGAAATGGAGGAATTGCAGGCTTCCCGGGATTTTTGGGAAGACAAAGCCCTTAACTCAGATTATCAAATCCAAACCCTGCACAATGCTGTAAGACACATCTTATTGTTCTAAATTCTTTTATGCTTTGCCATTTCTTACTGGTCCTTGAAGTTCCTTTTTTTTTTTTTGTGTGGAAGAAGCTTTTTTTATTAGGCAATAAAGTACATGACTGGATATGACTGGCTTCAGAATCTGAAACATTTGAATATCGTAAACTGCATTATAACAGTCATTGTGAGAAAGAGTTAGTAATTATAACCAGACCTAAGTAAAATTACCTAGGTGTTTCTTGTAGGTTCTCCAACGAAAGTATAAAATCATGTAGGTGTTTCTTGTTATTAAACTTTTTTCTCTTCCTTTTCATAGGTGCAAGAGTGGAGACAGAGAGCTTTCTCATCTGAAAGTAAAGCTAATGAGCTTGAAGCTAAAATGTCTCTGCTACGTCATGAACTTGAGGTGTTGAAAATGGAACAAAATGCAGATGTGCAGGGAACAAAATGTCCTATGAATTTGTCGGATTCACAAACTGAGTTGGAGAAGCGAATTGTGGTTTGTTGCACAAAAGAAAATAGCCACAACATAGACAAATGCAAGCAGAACGAGGTCGCAAGAGACAAGGAAAAAAGATTGCATGGCAATCGCGGCGCATCATGTGCTTTGAAACGATCACCATTGGGAGATGTTAGGAACTCATCATTGTTGATGAGGTAGAAGTAGAAAATGGCAAATCAATTTTCCTTTTGCATTGCCATCTTTCTTTCTTCTCAAATGTTGAGGAAAAGTTTTGTAACCGGCTAGTCTCTGAGATGTAGGTTGATCTCTGCTAACATAAAACTTCACAATCTAACCAATTGGGAAGAAGGTATGCAGTGGAATGGTTTTCATGTTAAGTTTTGCAAGTCTCAAAGCTTGTAGTGACTGGGAACTCATGCTTCATAGAGATATTTGTAGCTTATCAAAGTCCTAGTTCCTTCCAAAGAGAAGGTATAATCTAGTTCAATTGTCTGACCCACCTAAGGTTTTGTTATTATCGTTGTTGATATAGAATAGGCATGAGGGATTGTGATTTAGTTAGAGTGAGTCAACAAGTTGTGGAGTCCATCTTAGCCATCCATTCGTTTCATTAGTTCTTATGAGTTGCAAATGGATGGCTAGAATTGAATCTCACAGCCTCTTACTAAATTGAAATTCTGGACATAAGAACATAAAATCTAAAGCAAAATAAAACTTGAATTATGGATATGAATGTTTGTAGAAAGCACTCTTTGGACTGTTGATCTGGAGCAATATCACTAGGAAGCTATTAGTGTAATTGTCATTAATGTAATAGAATATCAACAAGTGACACGTTTAAAATTAAAGATACAACAACTCAAAAGTATAATGAAATTAAAATGCTACCTCCAGTCCCAAATATAATATTAACTTGTTGTGTAATTTATAATTGAAGAGCAAAAATGATAAAACTATACAATATTATATATGATGGGTTTATCATTATTGATCCTTGCTCCACTTTGTGCGGACTTAGAATCTTAAGTGGTGATTCTCACATCCCGGAAAATTTCACTTGGATATAGGGAATTAAAAATTAAAATGAGGGTCAATGTAAGAATTAGATGGGGAGATGAAACAACTTTTGATGTGAAATTCTGATAAGGTCCAGGCTTGCTTTTCTGTAAGTATCGGTCTAGGAAGGGCAAAACGGAAAAACTAAGAAAAATTCCAGAAAATTCTGGAAAAATGGGAAAAGTGTGAACTAGAGGTTTTGAATGCTCGATTGAGGCCTGAAAGGTGAAATTTCAGTGAAAATGATTTATTACGGAATTTCTCGTAAACAGAGGTTTTTCGAGAAAAGATTAGAAAATTGGAGGAAAACAATTATTTTATTTAGTTAGAGGCCTCAATAAATTTTGAAGATTAATAAAAAATTTATCTAAATATTTATTTGAATTTATAAAATTGGTTTTGGGCCTTGAAAGTTCATAAACTAATTTTAGGAGATTTATTTTTCCGCAGTGACACCAATAAAGGTCTAATCGGAAAAAATTCAAAATATATACATAGAGGTGGCAAAAAATTCTGAAAATTTTTAGATCATATTCTCATATTAAAAGGTGAATTATCATAGAGAGAAATAAATTTTTGGAGGTCTGAAAAAATCATAGAAGGTTACTTGTGAATAATAACCAATAAAGTTTCAAATTGGTTTAAGGTAGTGATTGGGTTTGTGAGCAATTTTTTTGGACCAGCCCAAACATTTATGGGGCCCACATTGAGCCCAATAAGGGCCCAATTTCATGCACCTTCCAGGTCCCTTTATTTTTATTAAATAAAATACAAAATTAAGGGATATTTGTGTGGAAAAATCTAGAGAAAAGCCACATAGAGTGATCTAATTATTTTGACATTTGATGATTACCACATACACCCCTTGAGGCGTCCAATTTCATCCAAACATGGAGGCGTAAGGGCAGATGAAAATTTTCTATAAATACCCCCTTAGAAAATATAAATAAATGTTGAAAAATTGGAAAAATAAAGAGAGACTCTGTCACTGTAACTCCAGCTCCATTTGGCTGAAATTCTTGAGTGCTTTGGATAAGGAATCACTCAACTTACATCAAGGAAACATTAAGGTATGCTTATGCCTTCCTATTCCTAAGTTGCAAGCTTGGTTAGTTGAGTTTTGGCTTGAAAAATTGAGGGTATATGCTGTCTCTTTTCGGTTTGAGTATGTAATGGGTAGGGAAGGATAGAAGCCTTAATAATCAAGTGGAATAAGCAAGATTAAGTGGTGTATGGATTGATTTTTGGAAGAAAATCCACCTAGGGTCCTATATGTCATTTTCGGCCAGCTACTGTTCATGCTAAAGGAAATTGTTTTGGCTTGATTTGATAATTTCAATGATTTTAAAACATGTTTTTGTGTAGGGATATGATGTTGGAAAGTGTTTAAAATCATTGGAAGCAAAAATAGAATTTTTGGAAATATATAACCCCTATTTAGCTAGTCACTGGTCATAGGGGAGGAGTTTGAATTTTAAAAATATGATTGCATCATTAGATTCCTCATGAAAAATTGTGTAGGATTGAGTCATGAGATGATTGGTTGTAAAGAAGGAATCATTTTGTCAAAAATCAAAGGAAAAGGGGAAAAATTTGTTAAGTTAAAGTTTAAAGATTGTATATAAGTTGTTTGGTTAGTAATGTGGCCTATTTTATGTTTGGTTAGTAAAGTAAGGAAGATTATTGTCTCTTGAAGTGATCAAATGGGACAAGTAACAAAAGGTAGCATTGAATTATGATTAAAGTTCTTTCTTGTTTACAATTATGTGTATGTGTGTATGTGCTACGAATGCCATGATGTGACTAAGCTATGCTGCTGAATTATGATTGCAATGTTTATGTTGAGCTTGCCTTGGCATTATGTTATCTGAATACATATGAATCTGCTTACTTTTCATGGCATTTCATTATGTATGAACCATAAAGTTATGTGCACAAAAGCATGTCACATTATGTTTGTATGATTGCATGATAATTACGATTCTTTGCTACTAGGATTTCTTTGAAAGCTCATTCCCCTTATGTGTAAAATAACCCTAGGAGGAGGATCAAGCAAGGGCAAGGGTCAGGAAGTGGTGAATAAAGGCATGTAAAGGCATAGCGACATTATTAACGGATATTATGTTAGTTTATGTAATGTTTGGATGTTTTGTGTTTGTTGGATAATAGCTCCCTTATAGAGTTGAATATGTATGAACATGTATGAAAATGTCTAAACATATTAGAAGGTATGTACAAGTATGTTATGGGTCCCAAAAGGTTAAGAACGAGAAAAGATAAAAGAAAAAGCAAAGTTGGATCTAATTAAAGGATAAAATGTCCCTAAAAATGGCCAAAATTGGGATGCATAAAATAATAAGCATTTCTTTAAGTCTGGACCTGAGATTTGGCAAACTTATAGATTATATTTTTAGTTTTAAATCAAGTGGTAGAACGTTGAAATTAGAGTTTTGTGTGAAGAGTTATACCATTTCAAAGTTGGGCTAAAATACTAGAAATTCAAAAATTGACCATATGAATAGTGTATTTTGTCAAATTTTTTGGTTCTATTCTGGATGGAATTGAGTCCAATGAATATTTTTTCTCTATAGAACTCTTAGCAAGCTTCGCATAAAAATTAGAACCACCTCGTTTTGATTTTTTTAGAAGTAGTTATCAATTTTTAAAGTTGGCCCAATTTCGGATAAATAATCTACGGACAGAATGAAAAGGAAAATTTTTAAAGTTGAAATTTTTTATCTGGAAACACCACAAAACACGTTATAATGGTTTCAATTGACATATAATGAATTATAAAAAGAGGTGTGACAGTGATTGCCAAGTTAAGTTCATGACATAGGTCCTCCATCATCAATAATCCTGCTGATTCAATTTCTAGGAATGTTCGAGTTTTGTCCTCCACATTATAAGAAGGAAGCATATTATGATCACTTAGTGGCGCTGTGGAAACAAATTTGTGACAATGAGTTTGATCAAAGGTGATGATGATCTGCAGGTAATTTCAACAATGATGAGTAGTCATATTCATAATTGTTTGAATATATTCGTATAATATTTGAATGTGACTGGTACTCTTCTTCTCCCTCCTCCTCCTCCTCCTCCTCCTTTTTCATGCTTTTTCTTTTGCTTGTGCTATTGGTTTCAGTCTTCTTATAAATTTTGCATAAAACAAAATCATTTAACTATACAGGATGAGAAAAAAGGACAGAAGAAGTTACCTTGATATATCATAATTGTCATAAAAGACTCAATATTAGAAAACAGAGATATGACTGTGTTTTTTTAGTGGCGTTTGCAATGCATGCATTAGCAGAAACATTAAAAAAGGGCTTTTTATGGGCATGTTTAGAATAAATTATAAGTAACCTTTTAATTATAATTTATGGAGGATAAGGTAAGTAAAATGAAAAAAGTTTTCTTTCAATTTATGTCAAACGTATTTATAAGTGATTTCTAATGTCATACCAAATAAGGTCTACACCAGTGATACAAGAATGCTTTTGACTCAAAATGAAAAGTGGCAAGAAAAAAAAAAAAGATGTAAATTTGCTCTGAATTTTATTCAGAAACATTGGGTACTTGAAAATTTTTTTGGATGCAAATTTATTCTGAAAGTTTAAAATCATAGTAATTTTGCCTTTTATTGTTAAAAAACTAATGTTGACAATTAAACTAGTGATATTGACCGTTAATATTATTAACGGTGAGAAACAAAATTACTACGATTTTAAACTTTCACTATAAATTTATACTAGAAAAACTTTTGGGTATCTGCCATTTACTGAAAACTCTCGAAATAATTTTCTACGATTAATAAAAAAAAAAGAAGGGTGAAAGAATACTAACCTTCATGTCAGTATTGCTTGTTCTCTTGTGAGAATGTCGTGCAAGTTTATACTCACGCATTATCCAATTGGTCTTTGTTCCTGTTGGAGCCTTCTCTCTATAATAAACCAACGTACTCCATCTTCCAACCATCTTTCCTTTTGAAAATACCAATTTATCTGATCCTGAAACCTTCCAATACCCATCTTTTGTTGACCTCTTTGGTCTTATTCCATTCCTATATTTTCTTTCCCTTGGTGAGAAAAACTACCACTCTTTTGCCCCAGCACTCTTGTGCTTATCTGCAAATTAAAATTAATTTTCCTCGCACACATAACAAATAACATTATTAACAACATTATTAACACATAACAAATAACATTATTACCATATTTTTACAACTATGGTAATAAAAAGTCGTGTCATGATAAACTCTTATAACATTATTAACAACTTTAGTAATAAGTCATGTAATGATATTAATAACTCTCATAACCACAGTGATAGCCTAATAAATGAAAAAATTTTATTGTACA